GCTGCTGATGAAGTGCACTCAGACAAAGAGGAGATTCCATCAGGGAGCAATGCCAACAAGGCATTCTCTTAACCCCACAAAATATCCTGGCAAAGAATTCTGTGGCTTTGTGTGTTTTTAGACAATAGGCCTTACACAAACATGATGTCAGATAGGGAGCGACTGTCTGTCTGCAGAATTTGTTTGTTTTTTTTTTTTTTTTTTGCGAAAACTTGCTTCCCCCTGACTTTGCAGCCAGCCACAGCACCTCTCGTGGTACATAATGACAAAGAGTGACACTTCCCCTGCACAGGAAGTGCACAGGCACTGCACAGTTAAGGCAGACTCAGACCTACTGTACACATATCTGAGCATCTCACCAGAGGGCCCCTCAAAACAAGCGGAACCAAATCCTGTAGACAAGCAACATTGGAAATTCTGTGTGTATCAGCTTTGGGGTTTTTTTTGGTTGTTGCATATTTATTTATTTTTTAATCAACTGATTGAAAACTAACAATTATGGTCAGAGAAAAATATAACACAGACATCATATTATAATTAAATGAACCTAAGCTATATCTCATCTTTTGACCATTATTTTGTTTTGTTTTGTTCTGTTTTGTTTTGTTTGTCCCAGATGCAGAGATTTAAAATCCGGATGGTTTTAATCATGAAAGTTCTACTCTTGGAGATAAACAATGCTTCTTCTCCTTATTTCCTATGTTGCTTCCAACAATTGACAGGGAAAGACAAAGTGTCAAAGTTTGGCCAATGTAGACGTAAAAAATATCCTATGGGGGAAATTCATCAAATAGAACTTTCTAGAAAGCAAAATTGTACCCAGCACAACTGTGTCCGAGAATTACCTTGATATAGCAGAGGAAGCTGGGAAAACTTGCCTTTCTTACTCCAGCTGAGTTTTGAGCACATGCTAACACATGGTCACTCATCACATGCTGTGACAACCAAGGAGTGCTACAGTGCCCCTCTTCCTGCTCCCATCCCATCCTGTTACTTCTGGGTGGGCTGTTTTCTGTGGGTTCTTGTGCTGTCCATCAAAAGAATCAGTTAAAGGATTAACTCTGACCAGAACAAGATTTTATTAGGACTTCTTGCTAGAGCAGAAGGGAGACATAGCACTGACCAAGAAAGTGTGTCAAGCAGGTTCTCTGGACAAGGACAAAGTTAGTCTTATTAAAGTGAAAGAGCTGCTTTCAGGGGTGGCTTTGAGAACATTCTCTAAGGTGTTGATTTTGCAGGTCCTGTGTGAGCACTTCAACCTTGAGGGAGGAGTGGTCAGCCCTGAGCCAAGTGCTTCTCTCCTGGTAGAATCATCTTTGCCTTGAGATACTTGGGATGCAAATGAGTGAAGAGAGCACACAGATCATAAATTGGGGACAGGGGAGGAAACACAATCATAAGAATAATTAGGTTAAACATCCTGGGAATTTGCTGTTTTAGTGATTCCTCAACAGTTGTACTTTGATGTTGTTGGAGAGTCATGGACGGTATACTGGCTTTAATGATGCATTTTGTTTCTGAGATCGATGTGACTGAGAATAGTGGGAGTAGGAGGGTGAAAGTTACAGAGTAGCTAAGAAGCCATGAGTTAGTGTAGGAAAGCAGAAGAGAGCACATACCATGCAAACAAGCTAAGAGTTAAGATTCCTGGAGTGTATTTGCCCTTTGCAGGAGGGCCTGACTGTCTCATTCCCCTCTCAGTTTTTACTCCCTTAATCTTAAAGAGTGCTGCTTTTCATGGGGGTCCATTAATGTTTCCACCCCACCCCCACAGCTAGAGAACCTCTTCACCCAACTGTGGTTATGTCTTGGTTCATTTTCTGTTGCTATCACGGAACACTACAGACTGGGTAATTTATAATGAATAAAGTTTTATCCAACTCATGGTTCTGGATTCTGGGAAGTCCAAGGTGAAGGTGTCACCTCTTAGGAGGGCCTTCTCACTGGTGGAGACTCTGCAGAGTCCAGAGATGGTGTAAGGCATCACATGGCAAGAGCAGTTCATACCAGCAATAGAGTCAAACTGGCTTTATAACAGATCCACTAGAAATAACCCACTTATCCATGCATGGATTAATCCATTCATGAAGATAGAGCCGTTATGACCTAATCCCCTTTAAGGGTTCCACCTTTTAATCTTTTGGAATTAAATTTCAACAGAAATTTTGGTAGGGATATTCAAGCCATAGCAGATTTAAGGGACTGCCAGCTACACTGACCACCATGAGGGTCAGAAAAGTCCCAGAGCTTCGCTTATGAGAATCCAGGTAGGATAGTAATCCTCAAATCTAGTTGCACATTAAAATTCCCTAAAGCAGTTTTAAAATGTTGATTCCCTGCTTCCTTCCACAATCAGAAATTCCAGCTTCATTGGTCTGGGATAGGGCAGCAGTAATAGTAGGAAAAAGTTCCAGATGACCCTCAAGTGGAGCCAGGGCTGGGAAGCTCTGGGAAGCTCTGCCTTTCCCTGCAGGCCCCCGGTTGTCAGGATGAATACAACTGTGTTAATTAGCCACGTAAGGATGTGCTTGAGTATTGTAGCTATTCTCCAGGTTTCGTCATGAAACTGTAATTCATAACCCTTAAGATAATCTGCCACACATTCAAATATATTTTATCATTTTTATAGCACCTTCCTAGCTACATGAAATAGTGCCTGGAAACAAGGAGACACCCATCAGGATAGAAGCCCAGCTTGTCTTTTTCTTTTCTGTCTTCCAAGTGCCTTGGACCAAAATGTATTTAAAAATAACTTGGTGAAGGGCTGAGGTTGTGGCTCAGTGGTAGAGCATTCACCTAGCATGTGCGAGGCCCTGGGTTGAATCCTCAGCATACATAAAGATATTGTGTCCAACTACAACTAAAAAATAAATATTTAAATAAAATAACTTGGTGAATGGGTAGATGAATGAACAGAGAAACTTGAGACTATGTTGAACTAGTAAACTGAAATATGTTCAGTGATAGAATCTAGATTAAAAATATCTCCATGTGAGACCGCTGAACTGAGTCCAACCAGATAAATAACAGAGGATAATGCAAGGCCCTTCTTAGGTCCAAGAGGTCCACAGATGAGCTCAGACATGTTTTCAGCAACACATGAAAAGGACTTAGTGGTTAAAATAATAGTTAGAGCCCTCAATCAGAATAGACAGAATCTGGAATATAGGAAATAATTGTTTCACTTTCATCATTTTTCTGATCATTTCTGTGGTATTATGTGCTATTCTGAAAAACCATGACTGGGGGTAAGGACTACATAAAAACTGAAGAGTGTTTGGAGAAGATTCCTAGGATATTAGGAGACATCAAACCATGTGTCAAAGAGAATAGTTGGACTGATAAATTTTAACTGGGAGTGATAATATTATTGGAAGGATCATTGGGAAAATAGATTAGATTTATTTAATGAGACCTCAAAGAGTTGGACTAGGATCACATTTTAACTTCACATAAAGAATAATGAGTTTTCAAGTTCAAAGCTAGCCAAAGAATGATTATGAAATGGGATATTCGGCACAGAGTGAATTCCCTGTTGCTAGAGGCATTCTCACAGATGTCAGTATACTGATGCTGAGACTAAAGAGCACCGGACACCTTGTTTAAATGCAGACACTGCTTCCTAGGTCTGCAGCAGAGCCTGGTTTCCTCTGTTTCCGACTAGCTCCCAGGTGTTGTCGATTCAGTGGCCTTTAAGATCCTTTACATGTAGATCTTTTTCACGTTTCTATGAAATAGTTGCATGTCTCCTACACTAACTCTATTCCCTTTGCCTTCCAAGTGTGACCCTGTTACAAGAAGTTGTGAGGAAAGACCTTCAGAAAACTTCCCAAAGAAGGCCAAAGTCCCCTATGAATGCCATGCACTAACTTTCTCATCATAGAGGAACAGAAGGACTACTAGACTGTGATCATTGTTGGTAATTAAGATGTGCCTGGGTTATTGTTCTTATTCCTGGAGAACAGACTATATTTTTGTAAAGATGGAAAATGAGTAACATCTGAAAAATCTTTCTTGATCTTTTTGTTTTGTGCATCTCTGTGTTGGTCAGCTTTTCATCACTGTGACAAAATACCTGAGAAAAATATCTTAAAAGGAGAAAAATTTATGTTGGCTCATGGTTTCAGAGGTTTCAATATATGGTTGGCTGGGTCCATGGTTTCTGGGCCTGTAGTGAGGTAGTATGATTGCAGAAAGACATGGTAGAGCAAAGTTGCTCACCTCATAACATCCAGAAAGCAGAGCGAAATAAGAAGAGATGGGGAACAAGATATAGTTCCCAAGAGCACACCTCCAAGAACCCACTCCTTTCAACTAAGTTTCCACTACCTCCCAGTAGTCCATTCAGCTTTGAATCCCTCAATGGATTAATCCACTGATAGATCAGAGCCCTCAGGATCCAATCACTTACCCAAATCCATACCTCTGAGCATTGCTGAATTAGGGACCATGCCTTCAACTCATAAGCCTTTGAAAGACATTCCAGATCTAAACTTTAACAATCTCTATAGACAGATTAGGGAGAAATTTATAAATTTCCCTCCAAACTAAGGCAAAAGAAAATTTTAAGTGTATATCCCCATGGCTTCATAATTTTCTATCCAATTAAAAGGTTTATAATCCCCTCTCTTTTTGCTAGAAACTCCCCAAGTAATCTCTTCAAGGCACTAAATGTGGGGGGTAGAGAATCCTTCTGTCACCCCCATCTACCCCAGTTCCACAGAGACTACAGGTTGCCCCTCCTCATATTGTTATCCTCCTTTTCCTTTGTTATATAACCCCTGATTCTGTGATAGGCATATAACTTTCCAGGGGAAAAGAGATCTTATTTCCTAGATTCCTACGGTCATTTTCCTGGTCGCTCTTTAAATGCCAATAATGATGGGAAAAGAGAATCCACTAGGAATAAAATAATGATATGAAGTTTTTATTGAAGCATTGCACTGAAAAGGGTATGCTATAGCACAAGGAGCAGTGAGATAAGATCTTTGACCTTCAGCTGTGATACTAAATACTGATTGGAGGAAGATGCTGCTTTAGGTTATGACATTCTTGAAGAACTTCATTCATCATGAATCTCCCCGCCTGTCGTCAAGAGGGATTAGAGGATCAAAAGTCACAAAACGATCAATTTCTATTCTTGGTGGTAAGGATGGGGCTATGGTAGTTCTTCCGTCTATTGGTGGCTTCTTCTGATAAAACAAAAATCAAGACAAAAATGCGTTTATAAATACTTGACATGGAAAAGCCACATATTGAGTATCTGCACAATAATAATATTTTTAAGTTACATGTGTAGGAAGGGAAGTATTTTCAACCAATACCATTTTTTTTAGTTTCATTAACTTATAACCAAGTCCTATTTATTGGAATATATATGATAGGTAATAAATAAAATGTAAAGTACTTTATTTCTTTAAAAAGAAAATTGAGCATTCTGTTTTCAACCTTGTCTTTCAGCCTATCCTTCTGGAGAACTAGAAGACTTGGACAAAAATAATTCTTTTAAAGCATGTTTAAAGGGAGCAGATCTAAGACTGGAAAGTTTTATGGACCCACGAATGTTACAGGGCAAGAATCCCAGGGAGGCATTTTGTTTTACTTTTCCCCTCAAGGCAAATGGCAATTCCAAAAGTAGTGCTAAGAAGCAGAGTAGAGCTTTTGATAAACTCCAGAGCTGAGGAATGAAAGTTCCCATCCAAGAGCTACCAGAGAGAAAAGGTCATGGTAAGTAACCAGGCTTTTAAATAGAAGCCCAAGGACCTCCCCTGAGGAGTGAAGGGTGAACCAGAAGGACGTGTTCTAATCTTCTCAGTCTCTTATTAGACCAAGGTAAATTGTGAATGTCATGGCCAAATCTCACACCACAAGAGAAACCAAAGTAAATCCTCTCTGGTGGAAGACGACTTCATCCAGACCCTCAAGTTATTTCTACAGTTTTCATAAGCGATGTTTCCCATTTAATAAAAACGAATCATTCCTCCTGAAGAAATTCCAAAATGGGAGGTTAAAAACATTTTTTTTTCTCCAGTGAAAAATAAAAGAAAAAAGAGACAATAGCACATCCTACAGAGACCCCCAAAGAGGCATTATTACACACTGATTGTAAAATAACTATGACTAAGCTGCTTGAGAGATTAAATACTTAAATGGCAGCTTTTGGTATCAAATGACATTTAGAACTGAAAAATAGAATCCCAGAAACTCAGGATGCTGAAGCAGAAGGATTATAAGTTCAAGGCCAGCCTTGGCAACTTAACAAGAACCTGTTTCAAAATAAAAAATAAAAAGAGCTGGGGATATAGCTCAGTGGTAGAGCACCCCTGGGTTCAATAACCAGGACTGGAAAAAAACTGGAAAATATGATAATTAAAATGAAAATTCAATCAATTGGTTTAATATCATGTTAAGTACAGCTGAAGACAGAATTAGTGAACTGAAAGATAAATCAGAAGAAAATAATAAGACTGAAGTATATTTAAACAAAAGAATGGAAATTATAGTAAAGGGCATAATCAATGTAAAGGTCAAATATGTATTTGTAATTTGAAAAGACTAGAAAGGGAATAGGGAAGAAGTAATATTTGATAAGATAATAAGTAATAATTTTCTTAAAATGATGAAAGTTATTATTCCAAAGATTCAGTAATACAAACAATTACACTTTAAGTAAAACTAAACACAATGTTTTTTTAAAAAAATCATTTTAAAGACCTTTTAAAAAACAGAATTCTATGGATTTAAGTGAGTGCTTTCTTCCTTTAAAATTTTCCTTCTCATGTATTTTTTGGTAAGCAACATTGAATTGAAGTTTGAGATAACTAGTGATTAATAACTGTTCTCAATGTTTTTCAGAAATTTTACAGTAATCCTTTTCAGACAAATTCAAAAGTTTTAGCTCTTCCATTAATTAGCAATTTTGTTAGGATGGGAATTTAAATCCATAACTAATGATTTGGAGTTTTATTAAAAAGAAGACATAAATTAAAAAATAGCTAGTATTATGATAACAAACAACAAAGACTTTCACATTTCTGTGTCCTTCCCTTTATTTTCCTGAGCCCTCACTCCTCTTCCAAGTATTCATAACAAACAAACAGACAGAAAAACAAGAATAAAAACTTACACAGTAATTCAACTGTTCACATAACCTCTGACAGCGCTGCAAGAAAAAGGAGGAAAATGCAGTTATGTGACTTTTAATTTTTAAACAACTTCATGTAAGTTTAAATATATTTTTAAATGTCCTGAAGAAAATAATACAATAGTTAACAGAAGAAATTGAAGCTTGCTGCAATGTAACTTGGCAGTCATATAGAAGAGAAGGGAGTTAGGGGTTAATTGAGATGAATAGCAGTATAAAAACACTTCCAAATATTAATTCTACCAGGAAAAACAACACGGAGTCTTAGGAATATAGTGATTTATCTCTACCAAGCTATTCAGTTTATAAAGGAAGAAGGCAGAAAACCAGGTGCTGAAGGGCTGCAAGCTGTTCTGAGCAGAAACTTGAGCTTTCAAAGGTACTCCAAGCAACTTCAAGAAGATGCAAAGCAGCAAAGAGGCCACAAGCTGCAGATCTACATCTGTGTTAAGGATGATGGCCCCCCCCCAAAAAAAAAAAAAAAAAAAAGCAGAAATTTGGCAATTGAGATAAATTGCCAAATTTATCTCAAATAAATACATATAACTTTTTAGGAGGAATTTTGAATAATATATGTATTTACAGGTTTACAATGTGAAACATCAATAATCAATGTGCAGTCACTCTTCGATAGACTCTCTGAAAAGTAAAGACACTAATTTACAAAACCAAAATAATCTTAGTGGTTTCTGATTTACTCACTTGAATTCCATTTATTTTTTAATTTTATTTTTGACACAAAAAATGTGCATATTTATGAAGTATAGGATAATTCAAAACATGTACACAATGAGTATGATCAAATTAGAGTCAGTAGCATCTCCTTAAACATTTATCATTTCTTTGTGGTGGGACTCTTTAAACCCTTTGATTTGTATTTCAAACTTTGCTCATAAGTGATATTTCATGACTGATGTTGTACCCTTATTTGCAAAAGAGAAGTAGCTAAACAAGTTGGTGAGTTCAGGTGACACAGGGTGTGTGTTAATAGTCCTTGCAGGTCCGGAGAGGTTTTTCTGATGATATTCCCTAACTGGCAGAATTTCCATCTCCTCCATTCAGACTGTTTCCTATGCTTTTTGTCTTAGGTTTTTAATCTTTACCTTACAGAAAACCTTCCATTTTTACTTTTTGTTTGTTTGTTTGTTTGCTTTGGTTTATTTCTTTCTTTCTTTATTTTTTAGTTGTAGATGGATACAATACCTTTATTTTATTTATTTATTTTTAAGTAGTGCTGAGGATCAAACCCAGTTCCTCATACATGCTAGGCAAGCGCTCTACCACTGAGAGCTACAGCCCCAGCCCCTCGGTTTGGTTTTTCATGCCAGCAATTAACCCAGGGTTCTCTACTACTGAGCTACATCCCCAGCTCTTTTTATTTTTTTTATTTTGAGATATCATCTAGCTAAATTGCCCAGGCTGGCCTTGAACTTGTGATCTTCCTACCTCAGCCGCCTGAGTATCTAGGATTACAGGTGAGCACCATTGCTCCCACCCTAATCATACTGTATGTTCCTGAAAATATAACTTTGAAAATGTCAAATGTTTTCTCCCTAAATCATATCTTCCAAGGAAACAGTAAACATCCTCAATTGAAGTATTAAATGGAAAGAATGAGAAAGCAAAGAATTACCTTCCAGCTTAAGAAAGGATACTGTTGAATTCCAGGATGAAAACGTATTTCCTGTGAAAATTGAGAGACAGAAAATATGGAGATGGAGGAAATTTGCAGTAATGATAATCACAGTAATTGACTAGGAAATTTAATCTCTAAATCTTTGAACTGGTGATCTGTGTTTTGTTTTATGTGCAATCCTGGCACCTGGCACGATTGCCTGACTTGCAGATATTCAATAAAGTTTGGTCTTCAGAATGAGTGAATGAATCTTGTATATGCTAACCACAGTCACTAATCCTTTTCAAGACTGGGACATACTACCTCAGGTCATCCTCTCAGGGATACTACTCTCCCCTTTGTTCATAATAACAACCTGAGCTGTAGTCCTGCTCCACCCACTACCTCTGTCTGCTGTCTCTGAGTCCAGCTACTCCAGAGCAATCAGCTCCCCCTGCCGGGGTCACTCCCTCACTGCAGTGGGTCTCAACATTGGCTGCCCACTGAAATAATCATCTGGGTAGTTTATAAGTAAACTACCCGTACCTGGATCAAACTCTAGACCAATAAAGTCAGATTTGGGGGCATGGCACCCAAAATCATCCCAAATGATTCCAAAGGACAATAAAGATTGAGAACTACTGCTGTGCTCTGAGGCCAAGCTCCTCCATTCTCCATGACTTAAATCTCTTGTTTTTCTAACAAGGATTTTTAAAATAGATAGAAAGAGTAGCTTTCAGGTCCAAAGGAACTCTTAAAAGGGAAATGGTGGATTTTTCTTCCACAATTATTTTTTTGTTGTTGCCAGGATTGGGTGTCACTAAAAGTCAGAATGTATGAACCAAGACTATTTGCAGAAATAGGCATTAAGAGATTACTTACTGGTACGCAATCAGCTGTGAGCAAAAGAGCAGTGAGCATAATCACCACTTTCATCTTTCAACTCTATCTACAAGTAAAACAAGAGTATTATTTCTTTTTTTAATATTTATTTTTTAGTTGTAGTTGAACACAGTATCTTTATTTTATTTATTTATCTCTATGTGGTGCTGAGGATCAAACCCAGGGCCTTGCATGTGCTAGGCCAGAGCTCTACTGCTGAGCCACAACCCCAGCCCAAGAGTATTATTTTTTAACTTGGGAAATATGGAACTCTTTCCTGTTCACAGTCCATAATGTGGCTCAGGAGCCAGTAATAGCTGGGCTGAAGGCTGTTCTCCAAGGAACCAAAGGGTGTGTAGATTAGAGATTTAGAGATGCTGGAGGACATTAAACGATTGGAATGTAGATTGTGATTCAAATGCCTTCAGAATAATGTGTATCCATAATTCAGGATCTCTACCATTTATGTATAGCATAAAACATTTAATGCTTATTAGGAATATTTTCTCAATGAATTTAATAGAACACTCATTTCTAGTAATTTTTTTGAAAACATGGCTTTTTCATATTTATTTTTTCATTGATTAGAACGGTGACCTTGATGGATAGATATCATTATGATATCCACTTAGAGTAGGAATTTATCCTGTTAGTTCTTTATAGTATGATGTAAACTGTTTGATGTATTAGTAAATCCACATTGGTACAAAGTTTTCTGTCTTCTATTGTGGCAAGTTTTATTTTTATTATTTATTTATTTATTTTGGTGTGTGGTACTGGGGATTGAACCCAGGGCCTTGTGCATGCAAGGCAAGCACTCTACCAACGGAGCCATAACCCCAGCCCTGACATGTTCATTTTGCAGATATAAAAGAAAAATTTAGAAGCATTGCTATTACCCTTTTAAAATAATATATAAAATTTCTTTTTTTATTGTTTTGAAGTAAGAGAAGGGAGATGAAGCATTTTGAACATAAATATAATGTAGTATTTCTCCATAAGCAGAATACTATAATTTTCATAAAGTGTATTGATTCATTTTCATGAGTAAGTGATATCATTTATAGCTAATACTTATCATAACAATTAATTCTGGAGCTGGGGGTATAGCTCATGGTAGAGTGTCTGCCTAGCATGAGCAAGGATCTGGATTTGAGCCCCTCCAAACAAACAAAAATTAATTCTGCCATTTGAAGTATGTTTTATAAGGAGAGCTATAAATATTATTTTAAAACAGAAAATAACAGCGCATATCCAATTCTCTTACATTATGAAATGTCATAAGAGTATATCCTGAACCCAAACTGTCAACAGCTGATTAAAAAAATCATGTTAAATAATATTTGATATGGGAAGAGAGACTTCAAGAGAGCTTCAAGAGAGTAAAGAAAACCTTTTATGTAAACACATTGCCAACTAGGAATGCTAACATTCTTTATGTTCTCTCCTTTTACCTGTAAATGTTGTTCCCATTTTTTCTCATGTTTCTAAAAATATGTAGGAAGGAAAGGGGGTTGTACATTTCCAAATTAACTTTTAAAAATCCACATCTGTAGAATTTTTGTGTGTTCTTTTTCTATAATTTGTTTTTAGACATTAATTGTCTTAAAGCCCTAATATAACCTACAACAAACATCAGAGTAAAGTATTAAAAATATATATACCAAAATAAATAAATATAAGCATACACACATAAGCATAGAAGATAATATTTAAAGTGCCAAATAAAAACATATGCTGTAACTATACAAGTGAATTAAAATGCTATTTTCAATGTATTAAGGAATTCTTCAATTTGCAACATTTTAGTTGTCTATATCTTTTATAAAATGAAATTATTTATAATTCAAAAGGACATACCTTGTACCACCAGGAAGAATGACTGCCCAGTATCTGTAAGAACTTCTTTGAATTCTCCTTTGTAGTTGATCCAGATAGTCGAAAGATATTTATATGTGTGGATACTAATGATGGGTGATATCAGCACATTAAAAAAATGACTTATGATAACCCTCATTTACATATGATGAAACAGGGGTTAGCCTGGCAGGTCAACACCTCAATTTTTGTGGGGCTAAGGCCCTTGTCCTGTTTGATTATAACACATTTTTGTGGTTATTCATGAGACACGAATAATTCTTTCAGGAGACTCAGGGTTTTGCAAATGGACTATAAGAATTGCAACAACCAGGAAAGTATCATGATGTCCTAGCAGTAGTAGGTAGGAGATTTATCTTGAGATTTTCAACTTTGAAGTATTAAATCCATCGAAACTTGCATGAATCACAGACTTGCACAGGAATCTTATTTCCCCTTCCCTCAGAGGCTCTCTGTAGGCTGGGAGGAAGCACTAGATTGGGAGGCTGTAATCCAGGCTCAGCCACTGCTTACCCATGCAGAAACACACTGGACCCAGGACTAAGAGTGGGAAGCCTCTGATTAACTTGGTTAAGACAGCCAAACAATGCAGAACCTTCTTTATATCCCCTCTAAGAGGCAGGTGGATGTAATCAGTATAACTAAGATCTTGAATGAATGTGAATGAATGAATTTTTCAGTTTTCCCCTAACACTTTAAAATCCATCAAGAGACGTACAAACTACTCAGACTCTTCGTGGGTTTTCTCTTTGTGTACTTTACAAGATTTAGACTGGTGTCTAAACCACTAGATGCTTACTTGCTGGAACTGGCAGAAAGGTTGGTTTTCTTGAGGCTTAGTAGATATGAGTAAGTCAAGAAGTTAGTCTTATTGCTAATCTATGTCCCCTTCAAAATAAAAAGATATAAGTAAAGTTAATTTTTGAACAAAATTCATTTTTATTTTCTTAACTAGTATATTTTATAACACACACATGCCATTTTTGAAAATTTAAGAGCTACAATTTAGTAATTCCACTCCTATGTATATCCAAGAGAAATGAAAATACGTATTTTCAAAAAGCTTATACATGAATGTTCATAGCAGCATTTTTTTCATAATAACCCAAAAGTAGAGACAACTCAAATGTTCTTCAACTGATGAATGGATAAGCAAATAAGATATATCTAGACAACGGGATATTATTCAGTAATAAAAATTAATAAAGTACCTATGAATGCTACAATATGGATGCACTTTGAAAACATTATAAAAAACAAAAAGAAGCCAAACGCAAAACATCACGTGTCATATGATTCTATTTATATGAAATATTCAGAATAAGCAAATCCATAAAGGCAGGAAGTAGATTGGTAGTTGATAGAGTCTGGGTAGAGGAGGGAAATGGAGAGTGACTACTAATGAGCAAGGCGCTTTTTTTTGGGTGGTGGAAATATCTTGGAATTAGTGAAGTAGGATGCACAGCTCTGCGGATGTTTTAAAGACCACTCAACTTTATGGATGGCCAATTATAGTTCAGTAACATTTTTATAGAAAAATGTCACATTCACACACACCCACACACACATACACACATGAATGGAAAAGAAAATATGAACCACTCATAATCCCAACACTGATGACTTTTCAATGCTTTTCCTCCTTTTTTTTTCTTTAGCATATTATTTATGTTGCTGAAATTATTTAGTAAAGTCTTACTTTTAAAAAACTAATATGGCGATTATATAACTATAAACTTTATAAACACTAATTTTTATAGATGCCTAAGAGTTTATTGACTGACAGATGAGAATGAGAGAAAAGAAGAAAGGGCAGATGGAATGCAGCAGCCAAAGGACCCAGAGAAATTAATTACCTTGTCTGCTGCAGAGGCCACAGTTTGCCCATCTGGTCAGATTCTTTTGATGGAGGAGGTGTTGCTAAAAAGTAACTAATAGAAACTACTCTCATACTGGGTCATTCTTGGAGTTTTAAATATGTTACAGACACAAATACAGATGCACTTGCACAGGTATGCTGAAACACATTATTAAAGCAGCCATACAATCAAAATCAAACTTTCACTAGGATATGAAGAAGCAAAATAGAAGAGAAGAAAGAGCACTGGATTTAGTCAGAAGGCCTGGGTTTCAGTCCTGGCTCCACAGGTAATAACTGTTACCTACAAAAAGGTATCAAAAAGAAAAAAAAGATCTCTCTCTCTCTCTCTCTCTCTCTCTCTCTCTCTCTCTCTCTATCTCCAAGCCTCAGTTTCTCCATCCATGAAATGGTGTTTCATCAATTCTAGTTACCACACAGAATTGTGTGA